TCAAATTCTTTTGAAGAAAACCGTTTTACCACAAGAGTAGTTATCTATATTTGTATATTGAATAAAGTGTATGTAACAAAATAATTTGATTTGCGTAAACTGATATATGAAGGAAAAATGGAGTCAATGGGTTGGAAAATTGTTGGTGGAGCAGATGACTTTGAAATTGAGGCCGAGACTCGAAAGCAACCAAAGGGTGGATATATGTACTTCTAGTAAGTATCAATGTCCTTTTGTTATTATTGTTGAAATGATAATTGGATTAAAGTATCGATAAACTTTAAATTGATTACAAATTTTAAATGTTAACAGTATGGCCGAATGCAAAAGGATGAAGGGAGATGGCACACAGAGCGGTTCGGTATGTAAAATGAAATTGACATTGAGTAGTATTAGTATTTAGTGTTAATGTATTGATTAAGAAACGTTTATGTTTAATATTAGGTGAAAAAAGATGTGAGGTCCAAATGGAATTCAATGAGTGATGCTGAAAAGGAACCTTACATCACACAGTCAAGGAATGATAGTAAAGAATACAAAGAACGGAGGAAAGCACATGAAAATAAGGTATTCATTAAACTTGTAAATACGTTGATACAAAATATATAAGAACTATAACATTATATATTGTTAAAAAATGTAGGAAGTGTCGACAAGATGCAGCATTAAAAGGGTGAATTTATTAATTAAACACCTTAAGGAGAAGGGTCAGTTGAATGTGCTGGGAGAAATAGGTTTTGGATCGTTGATCGGAGTAAGGGATCGACCTATTCGGAGGGAATTGTGTCGATCCTTGATGGCACAATTTGACGTCAGTCAATGTATGGCTAAGTATGGTGATTATTCATTCCCTCTGGGGGTATCGACTGCTGCAGCCGACTTGGGGGTACAAAACAAAGGCAAAAGTGTTATAGAAGTCTGTAGGAGTAAGAACTGGAAAGCACTTGCCTCCAAATATGGTTTGAATCATAAGGTGACATATGCTGAAGTTGAAGAGGATATCAAAGTGGATCTTACTGGGGGGATGAGCTGAAGGCCCGAGTTCTATTGTACCTTGTCGGGATATTTCTTTGTCCAACGGGTGATACGTCAACGAACAAGGAATATATGAAGCTCATTTGCGATGAAGGCTTGAAGGGTGAATTCAATTGGGCTGAATATATCCATTCGAGATTTATTGAATCAATAATCACCTTTAAAAAGGGCAGCCAGAGATACCTCAAAGGGTGCATAGTAATCTTAGAGGTAAATGAGTTGAATCACTTTTTTGTGTTTTTATATAAAAATATAAATTTTATTATAAATGCAGGTTGCACTGTTCGATTTTTGGTCGGGCTGTGAGGCAGTGCCGGCTTATGAAAGAACCAGAGTGGCACGCATCCATGCATGGGGGAAGGAAGAGGTGGTTAGAGTGATGGTGAAGTTGAAGTTGGATAGAGGGAAGAAGCAAGAAATGGTAATAAATGTAATTAAATAATATTAAGAATATAATCAATGTCTTAATATTGTAATTTAATTTTGAAGGTTATTGGCAAGGATGTAGAGGAGGCAGTGGAGGCAGAGGAGAAGAAAGGAGGGATGGTTGTATTGGGGGATGACGGTGAGTGGGACGACGGTGAGGGAAAACATAGTAACTTCGACATTTTGATGTATGAATTGGCTGATATCAAAAAAATCCAATTTGAAATCATGCAAAGACAATCAAGAGTCGAAGAGAAACTTGATCGAGTCGTAGAGAAACTCGAGAGAGTCGAAGATACACTTGAGAGGCATAAGGGGTAGTGGAAGGAAAAATAGATAGAGTGGTGAAAGAAGTAGAGGTGTTGAGGGGTGAAGTGGTGAAAGAAGTTGGGGTGTTAAGGGGTGATATTAAGATGGTGACGGGAGAAAAATTTGAGGGAGTGGTGAAGGAGGTTGTGGATTTGAGGAGTGAACTTACGGGGGTGAAGGGGGTGGTTGATAAATACTCGGATGAAGGAGCTCAATTGAAGGTGAAATAAAAGAGATGAAGAGCTATGTAGAAAAAAAAGTACGATGAACTGAAAAAATATGAAGAAGAAAAGAGGGAGGAGGAAGAAGAAGAGATGGAAGAAATGAGGAGGAAGGAAGTCGATGTCATTTATACACCGGAGAGTGTTATAGCAGCAGTTTTGGATTCGGAATGTCCTGCACCCCAGAAGAAGAAGCAGAAGGTAAGTTTAATAAAAGAATACTTAATTTGATTTTTATTATGTTGGTGTGACAAAAATTTGTATGCAAAATTGTAGGTTGAAAAAGCGGATATTCCAAGCGGAATTGATGACATCGAAGCTGCAATTTGTGATTATTTATGGAATAGCGAGTTAGAATTGGGGTAAGTGAAATATATTGTTTTGTGAGTGATATTTAAATATTTCATGACAACATATTAATCCTAATGATTCATACAGATATTCTGTAATCTCAATGGGAAATCAATTCGCTACTGTATACGACGTTGCAACGTTGAAGCCTACGGAATGGTTGGCGGTGTGTAAGTAGAAAGTAGAAAATGTTAAACTTATTGAATATGTTCTGATTGTGTAATTAATTTTGTTAGGTTATCGATTTGCTCGCCTGGACCATATGCTACGATTCTCAAAAGTCACTCCGGAGGATTGGCTACCTTCCATACCTCTTAGTGGTGAGTTAAATTAATAAATATTGAAAAGTAGTGTTATAGACGGTAAATTAATAATGTTTGTTGCGTAATTACAGCAACAGACGTTGGATGCCAATAACAAAGAAAGTGTTGAGGGTATTTCTACCTTCTGGGGTGTCATATTGGATAACTATGTGAAATTATAAATTAGATTCTAAATTGGTCTCCAATCTTTAGACATATAAAAGAGTTTTAAGTATTAATTAAAAAAATTATGTACAATAATAAGAAAATGGATATATTTTCCCGTTAACCTAATTTCAAAGTGGATATATAATTCAATTAGGATACATATAATACAAATGACTTTTTATAAATAAATATTTATTTTTAAAAATTATGAAATTAAATATTAGACAATACTTTTTTTTAAAAAAAAATTGTCAAACTTACATGCACAATAAATTTATGAAGTAAATTTATAATTGATAAGTGTTATAAATATATATTAGGGTTAAATCCGAACGTATAAATTATAAATATTTTAGTTTGAAATAGTATTTAGATAATTAATTTATATTAATCAATATTAGTTGATTCAAGTGGTAAACAACTTGATATTGCTTTTTAGTCTTTGTGAATGCAGAAAATCTCTACTGGGAGACTCACCCACTAAAGTTGGGTGTGCGACGTGGTGAAACTGGGAGGGCAACAAAAAAATAATTTATTTTGAGAAATCAATTTATTTAAATATTAAATAAAATTAATAGTTTAGAATAAATATTTATCAAAGTAATACAATAATAAAACATGTTTAAATTTGAGATAGATATTTGATATTTCGATGGTGGAATTTTTTTTACTCACAAGCATAAAAAAGTTACTTATATATGCTCTTAGTTGATATTAGAAAAACACTTGTCTGCTTGTTAATCTCTAAGTGTATCAAATAATAATCATCTAATTATATTATTCTCTCTTATTAATTAGGAATTTATTTTATAAAATTACTATAAGTTTGATGATTATTGAGTTAACAAACACGCATATTGTTGAACAAAGAAAAAGAGATGTGCATACGTTAAAAGTAATGGGCGAGGGATTTTGAGAAGGAAATTTCATTTTTATCAAAGTTTTGAGGAAACCTTATTGGAGATAAGTTTGAACAGCACTCTTCTTTCGCTTATCATAAGTTGTATTTGATCCACTTCTTTTATAGTGTTATGTAATGGAGAGCTTACTGAAGCTTTTATTCCTTCTAGAGGGCTGGGATAGGGAGTCCCCTTTATCTTTTTATTTAGTTTTTTTTTTAATGTATGGAGTGTCTATTCGGAGCAACATTATTTCCAAGACTTGAAAGCTATAGAGCCTTGTCGTAATGGCCTCTCCAGTTTTATATTTATATTTTGTAAATGATCTACTTCTTTTCACTTACTACAGGGGATGATATAGGAAACATATTAGGGTTTCCATGAAAAAGATATGCTGGCAGGCACCCCGTGTTGATAGCACTTGGTTTTAAAGCAGTCGGATTCAAAGCACTTTAATATTGTGGAATTGAATTATATTTTTTTGTCTTCGCTATTTAATTTATAAATAGTGAATAATTTTTCTAATTTGATATTATCCCAAATAAACAATAATTGCTTTAAAACACTCCCCTTTTTTAATGTTTTCGTGATTTTTTGAAAAAAAAATTGAACTTTCTTTTTATGTTTTTATATAAAATTTTGAACAATCGGAATCATTTATGTTGACTCTATTTCCCACGTGCATAAAATCTAAAGAACTGTATTAACTTTCAAAATCATTTATATATTGTAGCGATTATATACGTGGAAACTGATTTCGTCCCATTTATATATCTTATTCTATATCTTTCAATTAATGACCCAATGCTAACACCTTATCTTATAAGAGTTCATGTTTCAACACTTTATAACAATGGCAGAGCCACATTTACGTCAGTGTTCTATCTACTCTAGAATCTAAATTTAATTTATATTCATTATATGTATAAAATTTAATTTTATTTATATTCGTTCTATGTATAAAATTTTATTTTATTTATATTCATTCTATGTATAAATTTTTTATGTTGTTAATATATGTATCTCTGCCTTAAAAAACATTTCAGAATCCACCTACTTTGATACAAGATAGGTTTGCAAATTGGGTAGTTAATAAGCTCTCCTTGGCGATTTATGGCGTGTTGTTGAAATCATGGGCAACTCCAATTCCTCTGTACAATACAAGTGTGGGTCAGAATGAAAAGGTGACAATACCGTATTCTGTAAGTTCTGTTTCTTTTGGTATACGGAAAACCAAATAGTTTAGTAAAATTGGAAGAACTTGTATTGGTTAAAATGTGGGAACATGATGAAAACGGAATGTAAAAGGTACACCCAACATTCAGAATACTGTTTTTCATCATTCGCAGGGGCAGAGCTCGAAAAATAGCAATTCAAAGAGAAACTCCCGCAAGATATACGATGTATATATGTTGATATAAAACACCCATACTAGTGTTCCAAATGCTTTCTTTTATTTCACTTCCTATTGCATAAAAGATTCGTCATCCACCGGTAAACTTCGGCCGGCAGGCAACTCTTTCTCAGATGTCTGCGGGACCATTAATTTCCTAGCCACCAAAAATATGACTGATCAGTTAGCAAAACAAAATTTTCTTAATTAGCATTAATGTGTGTTTTTAAAATTTTTAACATAGTTGAACCAGGTGGTTCAACCGGTTGTACCTAGGGATGGGCACAAGACCAAACCAAATGGGTTCAGATCTCACTTGATCTTATTGGGTTGAATTTAAAAAAAAATTGGATTCAAGTCAGGTTCAGGTTTAGGGTAAAAAATACTTGACCCGACCTGAAAAATAATGTAATTATCTCATATATTTAAGGATAATTGTAATAATATCTTTCTATATATTATTCTTTTAATTAGATCCCATTTTATCAAATGAAATTAACTATATAGTGCGGGTTTTATCTCAAAAAGCAGATCAGTTTTGTGTAGGTGAAATCACCATAAATTCAGGTTGAGTCAAATTTCGGGTGGAGGATGTATTTTTATCAAGTTGGGTCGGGTTGGCCGAAAATGCGACCCAATCTGACCCATGCCCATTCCAACCTTCTGTCTATAAAACAAAACCAACCTTAATGGCAAGTACAATAATGAAGATGACATTGTATTGTAAAATGTTTTTACCTTGTTCTCAATTACAGCTCCATCAGGAATCTCCAACTTTACCCCGGGTTTTGCAGCAATGGTAACTTTCCCCTGAAAGAACATATACCCATTACAGCTTAACATTTTAAAATAAACCACATGCTTTTTGCTTCTCCATATTTTCTCAACAGTTTTAAAATATAATGCAAAGACGAAACAAAAGTTGTTCTTTGAAGAGGGGACGAAATACCTTGAGAACAATGCCAGCACCAAACCAAACATCACCAGTCACCTTAAGGCTATCAAGCTCAATGATACTTGGGATCGACTTGAATCGACTTAAGAAGTTACCAACCTGTCATGAAAATAAAGTATATATATATATACACACACAAACGTGTTAAGGCCTTTACATAAGTTATGTAGCAAGATTGACATCGCAAGTAATCACCTTCTTGAATTCAGGCCCCAGTTCTATGGATGGGTTTGTAGGATTTGCTCGAGCTTTATTCCGGATAACAAATCCATCAACTAAGGTGTAAAGGTCAGACTGCAAAAGAAAATAGAAGAGATTGGGTGAGGAAGCTTCATATATATATCATCCAGGATTGATTTCAACGTCAGGGGAAGAAGAAGAAAATAACCTGAACAAGAAGCAAATCTGAAGTTGCCTTCACTGGAAGGAATCGTGATCGAGGTACGTTGATACCAATAGCATGATCAAAGAACTTGTTCACATAAGGGATAAACACATTTAGACCGATTTTTTTAACAGTTTAATACATCATATCCATAATTGGTACATTTCTATACCTTAATTGCTGCACCAGATGCAGTTTCCAGTTGAAGAATTTTGATTCCGTTGACCTCCTGCAACCAATTTAATTATTTGGAAATCAGAATTCTATCAGAGGCAACATAGTTTTAAAAAAGGGCTTCACTTATATAACAGTCTGTAAATTTCATTAGGAATCGCAAATATTGTTATAATCAAATATTTATATTTATTTATGAATTTATATTTAATACACTGACAGTGTATAAATCTATACACTACCAGTGAACCAAATACAAACCATTTATTCAATTGGATAAATAAATTATCTGCTTCCAATTTAAAAGTTTAGCAGTGAGAAAATGTTTGCAACTCGTTTTACAGTTCCTACGAACTATCAAAAAAGGGTTTTCCTAAAGAAAAAGATACAAACCTTCGGGTTTGGAATGATCTCCATCTTGAGTTCATCAGCTTCCACGAGCTTCTTGATTGCACTCAGGTTCACCCACCTGTAACTTAAATCATTAGTGCTAAGTCAACTAAACCATCATAACGTTAAGGCAGTCTGACTTACAAATTATTTGTATTGAAAATTTTGAACTTTTCTATTGACTTGAACTCGTCGACCTGTTACAGAGAGAGAATTATGTCAGTCTCAGCCATAAACCTACTGAATGTTATCTTCATTTGTGTTTCGGTGTATAATGGTGAATACAGAACAACCCATCTAAAATGAAAATACTTGAGAGGGAATCCGAAAATCTCAATAAAAATTCTCGAGTTTTCTTTCCCTTTCTCTCCCTTTCTTAAGTTTCCACCTCTCTTCCTTCTTATAATAGCAACCAAAGATACAAAAATCTACAAGTAACAACACGATAAACAAAAATAGAGACCATTATCAAGCAGCAAAGGTTAACAGTGTCACTCAGACCTCATTCACTTGCCAATATCATGCTTTGTCAGAATGGGCACATTGAATCAACAGCCCAAACCAAGCTCCACAATGTTACTTAAATCTTAATTTTCTCAATTTTGACTATATTAGAAATTAGTATTTAATCTGGGTTTTTTTTCCTTCTTTGTGCAATTTACAGTTTTCAAGTAGTGAACCTCTAGTCCTTGTAAGAAAAAATTTTTTTGAGACCAAATGACATCTTGGACAAAAAAAAAAAGGCTGCATCAATTTAATTAGACGTAGCTGATCATAGGCAATAAAACCAAGCACTGCCTAGCAATCCAATTGCCTTTTGACTTTGAGCTATAGTCACAGATTCTAATATTAAAACCACATGACTCTTTGCTTACTTAACATAGTAAAAAAATATATTGAGGTGAAAGAACAAATAGGAAAACATAGATGAAGAAACAGATAACTTACGTGTTCATCAGGGACCTGAGCAATTTCAAGGAGCTGAATCACACACAAAAAAAAGGTGTTAATCAATGTCTAATTTCATTCTTTTCCCTTCCTTTCAAATGTGGAAGAGGAAAACTAACACAGATAACGGTTTTCTTTTAACATGATCATCAGGGACATGCCTCAGATTAGAAAAGGAGAGAGGATTGAATGATATAAATTCTATAAGCAAATAAAAGCACATTCAATACCTGAACTTTTCCTTCATAAGAGATAAGAGTACCACCCTTAACATCAGCTAAGGTTTTGGGTGTAACCTACATAAACAAAATTAATATAGCAAAACCACGGAGCTAGGAGAAGTATATAACACAGCTTACAGTTTGCTTTTTACCTCCATACAATATCCATTCTTGTTTTGGATCAAATGGTTTAAGATTTCTAGAGCAACCAGTCAAGGACTAATACTGCCAAAAAAAAAAAAAACTTGTGTGTATTGTGTGACTAACATTTAGAAAGCAAAGTTCACTGGAAACTACAATGAGGATACTCAAGTCAACAATAGCACCCAAGTTGTCTGAGTTGGCAACAAACACATACTCTTTGCCCTGTAATGAATGATGAAACACAAATAAATTGCCAAAAAGAAAGAACCTTCATACATAAAATGATTTTAAAATATAAAATAAAACAAAAACCACACCAAATTGCAGCTACAACCTGTGATAAGAAAGCATCAAGCTTGCCACTGTTCATAAGAGATGGGAACACGTCACCATGACCCGGAGGATACCTTCAGCCAAAAAAATTGTTGTGGTAAGCAGATTACCACCAATAAGCAAATCAGAAATATAATCAAAATCTCCATCAATACTTCTCAAGCATAATCACCGCATGAAATGTAGATAACTAAAACAGTGGGAACAAACAAATCTTATCATTATGAACTATCCAAGTAAGAAGATAAAACATTATTGAAACTATAGATTACAACTTTAGATGAATCATTCCCATGACTTCAACAACCACTACGTCCATAAAGAATCCAGCGAAAATATTAACCTAGAAGCGAAATTTTAATCATTCAACACAAATCTTACACTTCATATAAAAAAAATTCCGAACCTCTTCATCTGTCCTTTGAATAACTTCAACTATAAAAGTATCATACATCATTTAACATAAAATTCAAATAATCATAACCCATTTTTTTAAATAACCAACGCAATTAACACTTGTACTAATTATTATTGCCACATGCATTCCCCTACTTTCTTGAATCAAAACTAAACAACCCTTTATGATTACATCCATCCCTTTGGGAACCACTTCAAAGCTTCAAAATATTCCAATGATCAAAGGCAAATGGACAATTGAATTCAAGTTTAACAACGAAGTCCGAAAGTAATAACTGTCTATGCTGTGCTTCACAGCCGACACCGAAGGCAAATGAGACCAGCAGATGAAATTAAAGAACTTCAGGTCATTGAACTAACAATTCATCTTTAGCTACAAGTTACGGTTTATTCGAGCCAGGCTGGACCTTCCATGGTAATGGAGTGACTAACTGAGTAACTTACGAGAAAAGTACATAAATGAAAAATTTTACCATCCTTCCTTGCCGTGCTGGCCTTTGCTTGGTAATGGAGTAAAATCTTCAACAACCAAACGAGGATATTGGCTCTATGTAAATCCAAGGGGAGAAGTCAGAGAAAAGAGAATAGAAGTAAAGGATATATTTCTCAAGTTGTTGAGTCTGAATTGAATATACAGAAGCTGCAATTTGAAATCACCAACCTGATTAAAAGTATGAATCTCAATGTTTGAATTGGAATATTTATCGACAATCTGCATTGAACGACAGTTTAATGAAATTAAATCCAAAATTTAGTTAAGATGAAAATAAATACCGAGTAAGTAAATGTGTAAATCTAAAAGTGGGAACCTTCAATGTTTCATCATGGGTGTTGAATGAATTCATCAGAACCAATGGAACATTGCATCCGTATTTTGAATTAAGATTCTACGCAAAATACCAATAAAAAATAAAATAGAAATTGTTAGCTTGACCTGATTATACATAAGGGGAGAAAAGAAAGGAATTCACAACATATGACCTCAATCTGAATAACAATCAGGTCAAGAAAAGTCAAGCCATTGCGAACTTCAATGACAGATCTGTGTTTTGTTTTTTGTTTTTAAAAAAAAAATAAAAATGAGCAGTTAATTAGATCAATTTGCGTAGAAAATAATATAGGTATATAAATATATAGAGAGCGAAATAGGAGGATTAAGAAACAAACTTGGGGCCAGTACATCCCATAGTGGTTCCGAGACCTCCGTTAAGCTTTAAAACAACAAGTTTGTCCAAAAGCTTCTTCGTTTCAGCAGGATCTACAGTTAGATTTAGTGAGAGATCCATAAAATTCAAAAGATTCTTGCTAATTGAGATCAAGATAATTACCATCAGGAGAGGGGGACAAGATGTCATAAGGAACAACCACTTCATCAGTTGGAGTTTGGATCTTACTCCATTCTATGTGATGCGCTTCTCCACTTTAATCAAATGGCATTCATCTTCAATATCAGGATCTGAAGCTCATAGGAAAAAAAAACAAATAAAAGAGAATTGATTTGAATAATAGTACCTGAGATAGCGCGAGACAAGGTTGATGAATCCGTTCTTCTCATTTTCACTAAAAACACAAATCAGAAACCGCAGATTCGTTTGGTATTACTTTTTATTACTTCAGAAATCAGCCCAGTACGACACAAGACTTGAGTCAAAACCGAAAGAAAAGAAAAGAAACCTGATCTCAGAAAGAGAAGCGACGGTAGATTTGAGGCTTTCTAGCTTTTCCATTGGAAACAACAAAGCTGATAGAATAACAGTATTAGAATCGATCAATCGATCTCAAAATCGAAGACAACTGAAACACAGAAGAAAAATATATCTGAATTTGTAGATAGAAAGAGAGGAACTCACAAATGTGCTGATGTGCCTGTGTGGCGTGGTGTTGTTTGTCACCTTCAAAACAAATTATCTAAGCTCGTTAAGCAAAATAAATAATTTTGTGTACACCGATCCTTTTCCTTTAAAATTGTTATAATAATAATAATAATAATAATAAATAAAATGATAAATTACTCAAATGACTATTTAATTTAGAGATTAATGTTAATATGATCATTATATTTTTAATTTTGATAATATGACCAAGTAACTATTTATAGATTATAGTCGTGAATTTTTGTTTGAATTTTTGAAAAAAAAAGAGAAGAAAAATTGGAGGTTTTAATTTGTGGGCTTCTAGAAAAAGGAAAACAATGGACGAATGCGACCGCAGCAAATAGGAGATAAAGAAGGGATTGTCTCAGGAAAGACGGACTAATATACGGCGTTACCGGATATATTATAATATATTTAATAAATATGGTTTAGCGCTACCTGAAATATCGAGTAATAACAATGTTGTAGGTGGAAATCATGAAGAAAATATTAAAAAATTTGGCAACCGGCAAACTTAGCTTGTCGGTTTGTGTCGATACAAATGAAAAATGTATCGATCCATAGCAATATAACAGGTAAAAATATGATAAAACCGGTGTCATTATGATAAAACCGGTAAACCGTTATCAGATATATTGAAAGTGTCGATAAATTAATATAAGTATCGACACTTTTGTAATTTAAAAGAGAAGAAGTTATAGCGCCTAAAAAGTGTCGATACTTTATACAAATGTATCGATCCATAGCAATATAACAAGTAATAATATGACAAAACATGTTTCGAAATGATAAAATCGATAAAAAGCTACCGGATATATTGAAAGTGTCGATACATTAATATAAGTATAGACACTTTCGTAATTTAAAAGAGAAGAAGTAATAACGCCTAAAAAGTGTCGATACTTTATATAAATGTATCGATCCATAGCAATATAACATGTAATAATATGACAAAACAGGTCTCGAAATGATAAAATCGGTAAAAAGATACCGTATATACTGAAAGTGTCGATAAATTAATATAAGTATCGACACTTTCGTAATTTAAAGAGAATAAATTAGCGTCTAAAAAGTGTCGATACTTTATGAAAACGTATCGATCCATAACAATAATAGGTAAAATATGACAAAATCGTATCGAAATGACAAAACCGGTAAAGCGCTACCGGTTATGTTGAAAGTGTCGGTACTTAATAAGTACGCGTAAACAAGTGTCGACACTTTAAAAGAAATAGGTAAATATCCTATCGAAAGTATCGACATTTAGCATAAAAAGTATTGACACTTATGTAATTGTATCGATTAAATATAAATAACATATCCGGTGTAAATAAAGGCATAGCTAAATTTCCTCTGAAAATAGATAGAGTTTTGAAATCGAAGCGTAATTGTTGCTGCATTTCAGAAGGCGTTTCTACGTTGAAGTTTGTTTGTTTGTTGTTGCATTTCAAATCGAAAGGTACGTTGAAACCCTAATTTTTATTATTACAGTAATTAGGGTTTTTATGTGTTGTTGTTTGGGGTTTTCAAGTAAAGAAGCATTTGAGACCGATTACATGTAGAAAGTGATCTTCTAGGTAGATGATAAATATCGATACTTTATTAATATATATGAAAAATGATATTATAGGTTGTATAATGCTGATACTTGGAGTATTGAGTGTTCCCATTCGTTTGAAGGAAATAGGAGGTTTTGGGACCGATATTATATATTATAGGTAGAAAATAAATATGGATACCTGTATATAATATTATAGTAGAAAATGATATTTAGGTTGTATAAATGCCGACACTTGTTGTAGTGGCCATTCAAATTCTATTGAAGACCAACCGTTTTACCACAAGAGTGGTTATCGATTTTTGTATACAAGTATTTGATTTGATTTGTGTAACTGATATGAAGGAAAAATAAAGTCATGGTGGAAAGCAACCAAATGGTAGATGTACTTCTAGTAAGTATCAATTCTTTTGTTATTATTGTTGAAATGGTAATGGATTAAAGTATTTAGGAACTTTAAATTGATTACAAATTTTAAATGTTGACAGTATGGACGGATGCAAAAGGATAAAGGAAGATGGCACACACAGCGTTCGGTATGTAAATGAAATTGACATTGAGTATTATTTAGCGTTAATGTATTGATTAAGAAACGTTTATGCTTAATATTAGGTGAAAAAGAGTGAGGTCGAAATGGAATTCGATGAGTGATCAAAAGGAACCTTACATCACACAGTCAATGAATGATAGTAAGAATACAAAGAACGGAAGAAAGCACATGAAAATAAGGTATTCATTAAACTTGTAATACGTTGATACAAGATATAAGAACAATAACATTATATTGTTAAAAATGTAGGATGTGTCGACAGGTGCAGCATAAAAAGGATGTATTCATTAATTGAACACCTTAAAAATAATGATCAGTTGAATGTGCTGAGTGAAATGAGGTTTGGATCATTGATAGGAGTAAAGGATCGACCAATTCGGAGGGAATTGTGTCGATCCTTGATGGAACATTTTGATGTCAAAAAATGTATTGCTAAATGGCGATTATTCATTCCCTCTGGGTATCGACTGCTGCAGCCGTCTTGGGGTACAAACAAAGGCAAAAGTGTTGTAGAAGTCTGTAGGAGTAAGAACTGGAAAGCACTTGCCTCCAAATATGGTTGAATCATAAGGTGACATGCTGAAGTTGAAGAGGATATCAAAAGCGGATCTTATCGGGGGGATGAGCTGAAGGCCCGAGTTCTATTGTACCTTGTCGGGATTTCTTGTCCATGGGTGATACGTCAACGAACAAGGACAATATGAAGCTCATTGATGAAGGCTTGAAGGGTGAATTCAATTGAGCTGAATATGCCCATTCGAGATTGATTGAATCAATAATCACCTTTCAAAAGGGCAGCCAGAGGTACCTCAAAGGGTGCATAGCAATCTTAGAGGTAACTGAGTTGAAGAATGTTTTTTATTTTTTTATATAAAATGATGGTATAGTTATTATATAAAATGATTAATTTTATTATAAATGCAGGTTGCACTGCTGTGATAGTTTGCCGGCTTATGAAAGACACGGAGTGGCACGCATCCGTGTATGGGGGAAGGAAGAGGTGGTTAGAGTGATGGCGAAGTTGAAGGTGGATAGACCGAGGAAGCTAGAAATGGTAATAATGAAATTAAATAATATTAAGAATATAATCAATGTCTTAATACAAATTTAATTTTGAAGGTTATTTTCAAGGACGAGAGGAGGCAGAGGAGAGGAAGAAGAGATGGTTGGAGGGGGATGACGGTAAGGGGGATTACGGTCGGAAAACAGTAAATTCGACATTTTGATGTCTGAATTGGCTGATATTAAAAAATCGTTTTGGATATTCATCAAAGACATTCAAGAGTCGAAGAGACACATAAAAGGCATAAGATGGAAGTGGAAGGAAAGATAGATGTATTGGTGAAAAAAGTTGAGGTGTTGAGTGGTGAAGTTAATATGTTGACGGGTGGAAAAATTGATGGAGTTGCAAGGAGGTTGTGGAAATAAGGAGTGAACTTTCGGGGGTGAAGGGTGGTTCAAAAACTTGGATGAAAGGGGGAAATTGAAGGGTGAAAAAAGAGATGAAGAGCTATGTAGAGAAAAAATACGATGAACTGAGAAAATTTGAAGAAGAAAATGGAGGAAGAAGAAAGATGGAGGAAATGAAGAGAGGATGTACAGGAGAGGGAAGAGAGATGGTTGGATGTGGATGACGGTCAGGGGGATTACGGTCAGGGAAAACAGAGGTAAATTCGATATTTTGATGTTGAATTGGCTGATTAAAAAAATCGTTTTTGATATTCATTAAAGACAATCAAGAGTCAAGAGACACATGAACAGGCATAAGATGGAAGTGGAAGGAAAGATAGATGTATTGGTGAAAAAAGTTGAGGTGTTGAGTGGTGAAGTTAATATTGTGACGGGTGGAAAAATTGATGGAGTTGTCAAGGAGGTTATGGAAATAAGGATGTGAACTTTTGGGGGTGAAGAAGGTGGTTCAGAAAAAGCTTGGATGAAGGGAGAAATTGAAGGGTAATAAAAGAGATGAAGAGATATGTAGAGAAAAAATCGATGAACTGAGAAAATTTGAAGAGAAAAGATGGAGGAAGAAGAAAAGATGGAGGAAATGAAGAGAAAGGATGTCACTAACATCTATACCCGGAGAGTGTTATAGATGCAGATTTGGATTCGGAATGTCCTGCACCCCAGAAGAAGAAGCAGAAGGTAAGTTGAATAAAAGATAACTTAATTGATTTTATCATGTTGTTGTGACACAAATTTGTATGCAAAACTGTAGTTTGTAAAAGCGGATATTCCAAGCGGAATTGAACCGGTCGAAGCTGAAATTTGTGATTATTTATGGAATAGTGGGTTAGAATCGGGGGTAAGTCACTTATATTGCTTTGTGAGTGATATTTAAATATTTCATGAAAAGAATAATCCTAATGATTCATACAGATATACTGTAATCTCAATGGGAAATCAATACTCACAAGTATCCGACGTTGCAAGTTGAAGCCTATGGAATGGGTTGGCGGTGTGGTAAGTAGAAATCAATTAAAAGACAAAACCTATTGAATATGTTCTTATTGTGTAATTAATTTTGTTAGGTTATTGATTTGCTCGCCTGGACAATATGCTACGATTCTAAAAAGTCAGGCCGGATGATTGGCTACATTCCATACCACTTAGCGGTGAGTTAAATTAATAAATGTTGAAAAGTAATGTTATAGACGATAAATTAATAATGATTGTCGCGTAATTGCAGCAACAGGCGTTGGACAACAACGATAATGTTGAGGGTATTGCGTGCTTTTGGGGTGTCATGTTGCCTAACTATATGAAATTCACCAACTGTGAAAAGGTAAGACACCATACGAATAGGCATAAATGATGTTTTGGATATATAATGTTGAATTTTGTCAAATTGTGTGTGAAATTTGTTGCAGATCATGATCACAATAAACTACAATAATTCACATGGTATCTGTTGGTGTTGGATATGAAAGAACGTGTTGGAACTGTATATGA